AGACAATCTGTAAATTACAGCATAGGCTACCGCAATAGGGGCGTTGCGCGGTGCGGTGGTTAGCACGGCGCCCCTCATACAGAGACTTTAGCCGCGGTAGTCAGGAGTCCGACTCCCGTCCTCCATTCGCTGGGCCAGGCACGTGCAAAGGGAGGGGCTGGGGGTACTTAAGCACCTGCCCTTTTTGCTCCTTGCCCCAAGTGCCCTTTTGGTCAATTTTTTATTTATTTTTTGGTATTATTACCATTAGCTACTAATTAGCAGCTAATGTGATCATAAAATATACCAAACTGTTTTTACATCTGATTCTTTGATCAACCAGAGGTTTTGTATTTTAAAAAGTCATCATGATTGAATGTTTTCAGGGACTTTCTGGGTCTTTAGCAACGTTTGGGAGAAATGAGGAACCTAGAAAACTCTGCAGCAGCAGAACAAGATGTGAAAGTTTATTAACAGGGAGAAAACATGTAATGATCTAAGAGCTGCATCAGCTGCTGCCATCTTAGATTTCAGCTCTGTGGAAACCACCTGTTGGAGCATTTTATGAATTTATCTAAAGAAATGTAAATGAACGGTTCATTAAATGTAAATCTGCCAGAGGTATGAATAATTTTGGGCTGAATTATAAAATTAGAGGTAATTTAAAAGCTAGTGTAATTATTTCTTAATGAAGAAGGTGGATGTTTTATTCTGTTCTGGATATTTAAACCTAAACAAAACAGACTTTTTCTGCTGTCTTTCTTTGCTTCAGTCCCAATAATCAGTAAACAGATCCTGAAATATCTCAGTGTTTCATATTTAGATGTTAGTGTTCCTGAGTTAGACACAGATGGAACCTGTGCTGCCATTTTTGAAGTTCAGAAAACTGAAAAAACTGTTTGACTTCAGTCTGGATCTTTGTGTGTTTTGTTAGGAAGAGGCTGGAAAATGACGACCAGCTTGAATCTGAACTCAAACATTTATCCTCTGATTACCAAAGGTAAGACTCTTACCGATGACAGAAATGAAAGGAATTTTATTTATGCATCACTGTTAAGATTAGACTCGTTTTCACAGACCTTAACTAAAAGTCCGTTCAACTTAACCTTCATTAGGTACCTTCACCTTTTCGCTCCCTCTACTTTATTGTCATCTTTAGTTTTCTTTCGCTCCTGAGAGCAGCCCAACAGCAATAAAAGTAAATTTTAGTGTTTTGTGACATTTAAATTCATTAGGAACCGTCACTGGGTGGAAGTTTTAGGTGAAGATATGCAGAAGACTGTTCTTGAAGAGTGAAGATGTTGATACAAAGCTAATTCTGACTCAGATCTGCAGAGAAACATCATCTAAGTTTGTCTCTGTGTGGACAGACAGAATATGAGTTAATGTTTCCTGGTTCCTCCACAGAGTGGACCAGCAGAGCTCAGAGGTTCCCACTGATCCATCTGTCCAGCCGCATCAAACACAGCTGGACTCCATATTTATGGTCTGTACATCGGTTCTGTTTAGTCAACGTCATGCTGTTTTTTAGATCATCTGTCCAACATGGATCTGATGTTTCCTTCATGTTTTATCCTGTTCCAGCTGCTGGAGGAAAACATCATCACTTTCGTGAAAAACGAGCTGAAGAACATCCAGAAGGTTCTGAGTCCAGATGACCCAGGATGCTCAGAGGGTCAGAGTGAGGATGAGGAGGCAATGGGAGGTGAGGATGAAGAGCAGAGGAGGAGCAGCAGAGAGGCGGTGATGAAGATCACCCTGAACTTCCTGAGGAAGATGAAGCAGGAGGAGCTGGCTGACCGTCTGCAGAGCAGTAAGAGGATTTCTACAACAATTCTGCTGTTATGTTGAATAATTAAAACATGATTACATGAGAAAATGAATTCATTCATTCATAAATGTATTAGTCCATATCATAGATAAGCAGCAGAGTCCAACCTGCAACAAACTGAAATCAAAGAAGAGAAACTGACAAACATAGAAAGTCTTAATCAAACAGAGCAGCAGACAGTCATATGAGCTCAATGACGTTCTGGATTCAGCAGCTTCTGGATTTAAACATCACCTATGGTGACTAGTGAGCTGCTCATGAAATATAAACTTTGGGAACTTTATATTTAGAGTAAAATACTGTAAAAAACAAACATAGCAACAATGCACAAGATAAAAACCCATTTTAGTATTAATTCCTGTACACCTAAAATGTTACAGGTAATATTCAACTACAGATGAAGAAGCTTCAAAAACACAAAAATACACAGCTACCAAATTCAAACTGTGGTGCAGTAGTGTCAACACTGAGTGCCAGTAAACGGTACAACTGCTGCTGATTTGCCATGACATGAACTCTACTGTCCATCTACATGCATCCAAAGAGAAGAGGTGACTAGAAAGTCAACCCATCTCCTTGTTTCACTCAGCTGCAGGCATTTGATGCAGATCATGTTAAAAAAAAGTCTTTGGCAAGGTTTTTATATAGTTTTTCCTGTCTATCCCCAAACAACCAAGTATCCCAGTGTTTTCTGAATACTTCTGCTCAAGACAGAACCTAGATTCCTCTGGGAAGTTAGGTTTGTAAGTAGCAGACAGGATAGTAGAGAGAATAGTTCCCTGGGTTGACCCAGTGCTGCATAATATTGTGGCCTGGTTAGCTATTTTTATTGGTCAATCTCTCCAGCTACAGCAACCTGTCCAGGCCTTACAGTGTGTTGTCTCCATGCAGGGACTCAAGCTGGAAATTGTCAACGGAAACTCAAGTCAAACCTGAAGAAGAAGTTCCAGTGTGTGTTTGAGGGAATCGCTAAAGCAGGAAGTCCAGCCCTCCTGAACCAGATCTACACAGAGCTCCACATCACAGAGGGGTTAACTAGAGAGGTCAACCAGGAACATGAGGTCAGACAGATTGAAACAGCAAACAGGAAACCACACAGACCAGAAACAACAATCAGACAAGAAGACATCTTTAGAGTCCAACATGAAAGAGATCAACCAATCAGAACAGTGATGACAAAGGGAGTGGCTGGCATTGGGAAAACAGTCTTAACTCAGAAGTTCACTTTGGACTGGGCTGAAGACAAAACCAACCAGAACATCCAGTTCATATTTCCATTCACCTTCAGAGAGCTGAATGTGCTGAAAGAGAAAAAGTTCAGCTTGGTGGAACTGATTCATCACTTCTTTACTGAAACCAAAGGAATCAGTAACTTTGAACAGTTCCAGGTTCTGTTCATCTTTGATGGTCTGGATGAGAGTCGACTTCCTCTGGACTTCAAGAAGAATCCAGTCCTGACTGATGCTTCAGAGTCCAGCTCAGTGGATGTTCTGCTGACAAACCTCATCAGGGGGAAACTGCTTCCCTCTGCTCTCCTCTGGATAACCACACGACCTGCAGCAGCCAATCAGATCCCAGAAAAGTTTCCTGACAGAGTGACTGACATTAGAGGATTCGATGACCCACAGAAGGAGGAGTACTTCAGGAAAAAATTCAGAGATGAGGATCAGGCCAGCAGCATCATCTCCCACATCAAGACATCACAAAGTCTCCACATCATGTGTCACATCCCAGTCTTCTGCTGGATCACTGCTACAGTCCTAGAGGATGTGCTAAAAGCAAATGGGAGAGGGGAACTTCCAAAGACTCTAACTCAGATGTACATCCACTTCCTGGTGGTTCAGACCAAACTGAGGAAGATCAAATATGATGGAGAGCCTGAAACAGATCAACACTGGAGTCCTGGAAGTCGAAAAATCATTGTGTCTTTGGCAAAACTGGCTTTTGATCAGCTGCAGAAAGGAAACCTGATCTTCTATGAATCAGACCTGACAGAGTGTGGCATCGATATCAGAGCAGCCTCAGTGTACTCAGGAGTGTTCACACAGATCTTTAGAGAGGAGAGAGGGCTGTACCAGGACAAGGTGTTCTGCTTCGTCCATCTGAGTGTTCAGGAGTTTCTGGCTGCTCTTCATGTTCATCTGACCTTCATCAACTCTGGTATCAATCTAATGGAGGAACAGTTGACATCCTGCAGTTCTGAAGTAAGAGAAGATCAATCTGCAGAAACAGACATTTACAAGAGTGCTGTTGACAAGGCACTGCAGAGTCCTGATGGACACCTAGACTTGTTCCTGCGCTTCCTCATGGGTCTTTCCCTGCAGACCAACCAAAGACTCCTTGAAGGTCTGTTGAGACAAACTGGATGTTGTTTCCAGACCAACCAGGAAACTGTTCAGTATGTCAAGAAAAATATCAGTGAGAATCTGTCTGCAGAGAAAAGCATCAATCTGTTCCACTGTCTGAATGAACTGAATGATCGTTCCTTAGTGGAGGAGATCCAACAGTCTCTGAGTTCAGAAAGTTTGTCCGCAGAACGACTGTCTCCTGCCCAGTGGTCAGCTCTCGCTTTCATATTGGTCTCCTCCGAACAAAGCCTGGATGTATTTGACCTGAAGAAGTATTCACCCTCAGAGGAAGCTTTTCTAAGGTTGATTCCAGTGGTCAAACAATCAAAGAAAGCTCTGTGAGTATGCAGCTTCACGTCCTTTGTCACGCAGATAAATAAAACAGTGGAATGGGAGAAAATGGTTACCATACTCTCTTATTTTCAGCCTGAGCCAGTGTAATCTGTCAGACAGAAGCTGTGAACCTCTGTCCTCAGTCCTGGGCTCCTCTTCATCAAACCTGATTGAACTCAACTTGAGCAACAACAACCTGAGGGACTCAGGAGTTGCTCTGCTGTGTGCTGGACTGGAGAGTCCACAATGTCAACTGGAAATTCTCAGGCAAGAAACTCGAGTTCATCAACCTTTTGAAATGGATCGAGTCAAACCATTAAGTAATTAACTGAAATGCACTTTATCTCAATGAAGTACATTTATTAAAGATACATTTATTAAAGATACACATTTGGTAAAAATTGATGGTATATCTGTGTTAATGACTGAAAAACCCACTATGGTCACTGAAATAAGTGAAAACTGACAATAAATCCTCTATAATGTTTTCATAAACTGAAATATGACCTTTTCAGGCTGAGCGCCTGTAACTTGTCAGGTAGAAGCTGCCATCATCTGTCCTCAGTGCTGAGCTCTCAGTCCTCCAGTCTGAGTGAGTTGGACCTGACAAACAACGATCTGAAGGATTCTGGAGTCAACCTCCTGTCTATTGGACTGGCTAGTCCAAACTGTAAACTGGAGACTGTCAGGTCAGTATTAATCTAATATTTTTCATTTATATAATGTTCATTTTCCAAATGCTTTTTCACTACAAAGTTAAGAACACAGACTGCACATGCACTCTACTATCACCAGGCTTCACAATGTTTTTTTATTCTTAAAGCCTCTCAGGATGTCTGATCACAGAGGAGGGCTGTGCTTATGTGGCCTCAGCTCTGACCTCTAACCCCTCCCATCTGAGAGAGCTGGACCTGAGCTACAACGATCCAGGAGAAGATGGAAAATCAATTCTGACGGCTAGATTTGAAGATGAGTGTTCCAGACTGGAGACTCTCAGGTAGATGATGAGCATTTTTAATCCAAACAAACTATTCAAAGATTGTGTAAACACGAACCTTGAGCATCACTCCTCCTCCTATGGTTTCTGCAACAGTGAAAAAACCTTTAAATCCAGTTCAGTATGAGCCCTCTAGGCTAAACCTTCCTGGTTCCTAATGATCTGACCTTCCTCCTTTCAGGATGGAGCCTGCTGGAGTTCAGTACTTGAAACCAGGTCTGAGGAAGTGTAAGTGGGTTTTTTAACAGAATTATTCAACCCTCCTCACATAAAGCTAATAACTACTACGGCTAAACAGATTTTAGATCAATATCTGCAGCTGGATTGTTTGTTCTCTCCATCAGATTCCTGTCGACTCAGCATCGACACAAACTCAGTGAACAGAAACCTCCAGCTGTCCGACGGCAACAGGAAGGTGACGCATGTGGAGGAGGATCAGCGGTATCCTGACCATCCAGACAGATTTGACTGGTGTCGTCAGCTTCTTTGCACAACTGGCCTGACTGGTCGCTGTTACTGGGAGGTGGAGCGAAAAGGGAGAGTTCATGTGTCAGTGAGTTACAGAGGAATCAGAAGGAAGGGAGACAGTGACAACTGTGAGTTTGGATACAATGATAAGTCCTGGAGTTTGTTCTGCTCTGATGGGATTTACTCCGTCTATCACAATAACAAAGGAACATCAGTTCGCCTCAACTGCATCTCCTCTTCCTCCTCCTCCTCTTCCTCTGCCACCAGCAGAGTAGCGGTCTATCTTGACCATCCTGCTGGGACTCTGTCCTTCTACAAAGTTTGCTCTGACTCCCTGATCCACATCCACACCTTCAGCACCACCTTCTCTGAACCTCTCTATCCTGGGTTTGGAGTTGGGTTCAGGCCCGGTTCCTTTGTGTCTCTCTGTTTGGTTTAGAACAGGAAACACCCGTCTAGTCCGTCAGCATTAGCCTCTTATGGTGTCATAGATCAAAATACCATAGAATGTTAATCAACCACAGAGACTTTTAGTCCAGTTTCAGTACATAAAACTAATTAACAAACATGTTGGACCTGATCCAGATCTTATAATTCACATTTTTACCATGAATGTCCAAGTAATAACTGAGTAATAATTTGTTCAGTTTCACAATGTGTGTCTTTTCTGATGAACTGATTGAAGTTCCCTGACCCATCAGCTCATTTTATCTTCATCCAGTCAGTATCTGACTATATTAAAGGAATAATCACTTCATCTGTCAAACAGTTGCTATTATGCAGCACAAAATGTTGTATTTTTAAAACCTAAACATAATGAGGACATCCTGTTTCATTCAGACATTTCAGATGAATCGGTTTTAAGATTCTGAACCTTTTAAATAATATTTTTTACTCTATTTTACTTTGATTTTTGTTTTTCGTTTTGCCATAGTAATGTATTTCCTGTCCATACAGTCATTGTGTTATTGGGTGAATTTAGGAGCAATTTGTTACAACTTAGTTTCTAATAATTATAACAATGATCTTTAATAAAGTGTTTTTCTGTTTTTATTCATCGTTTTTTGCAGTTACATTCAAATCGATCAGATCTATAAATGTCATGGTGGTTTGTATTCATTTCATGCAGCTCGATTAACTATCTAATCTGTAAGTGTTAGTATTTGTGTCAGTAATTTGCCGAGACTGTCGTTAGATCTTGTTTACTCTGGTGTAATGTTAGTTTTATTTCCTTATTATGTAAAACCATCTCGTCATGAACGACTTTCTGTGGGCATTTCTTACTCATTTTATAAATAAAACCCATTTTTATCCTATTAAGGCCATGTGGCTTCTTCATATCTTTTTTTTTCAGCTTTGATTTAGCAGATGTTACAGAAAATATGTATATTTATTCATACATCTGCTGCAGCTTCCTAAGAAATTACATTTTCATCAAAGGAACCTTCAACTAGTCCTAGATCTAATTTGTCTCCATCTGGTGGTTAAAAACACAAACTGCAGGAGTTCAGTACAGATCCAATAAGC